CGCGCGGACGAATCTTAGAGCGCAAGCGGCAGAGGAGTAGCATCTGAAAATTGCTACCGAAAATGTATTTCGTGCTTTATTAATTAATTTATTTATACACCATAAAATTTCATATTCATCTCTCAGTCAGTATCTACAGGAGCTGTTAAACTAACAACTTTTATCTTCTTAACGATTGTTCCTAATGTGAAGTGAGAGAATTCCTTGCTTAATCTTTACAATTACATAGGTAAAATAGGATATGAATTTTGATTACCAAGGATCAAATGGACAAGCAATGCTGGAATGGACAATGGACAACTGTCTACTTCCTGATGCCTTTTTAAAGCCTCATTGTTATAAAATTTGACTACTTTTTGAAAACCTCTTGACAAATGTGTGTATGTAGGGTGTTAATAGACCATCTGCTGATTTAGGGTATAAGAAGTAACGTTTATATACTAAATGAGGTGTAATAATATTGACTTATGTTTTTATACGTACCAGAGAGAATTTTGTCTTTTCTCGCCTCGAAAACAGAAGGATGTACTTTCTTTACCTTAATTGCCTAAGATTACTATATCGCCCTTAAATGGTATTGGTTGCAGTTCCTCGTACATAAATAAATCCAATAAATAAACTTATTTTTTACAAAGGTTATCAACTTAGAAAATCTTGATATAACTATACTATTATTGTTCATCAATAACATAGATTTTAGCACAGAGTACTTATTAAACAGCATAAATAAAGTTCTTGAACTGAAAACTAATTTTATGATTAGATAAACAAAATTTTAATGTTTATGTAGGAAAATAAACGATAGAAACACTGCGTTTAACATGCACGCTAACATTACATCTTCAGTAACTTTTCAACTTGATTTTCCTGTTTCCATTAACAAAATAAACAATATTCCTTTTTATACTTGTTATCTGATTCCATAGGAATTAACTAATCCACAGCCTCACGCGATTGTCTTAAAATCCCTCTCGCAAACTCATGCACACTTTCACTTTCTGTGATATCTCAATTGATGAATTGCTTCAATTGATTTCAACAAAACAATTTTATTCAGGGCCTAGCATCGCACCTTCATCGTATCAGAATTACCAACATTCGCCCAGAAAATGGTGCAGTTCATATGAATAGCTAATGAAATCCTTTTCTTGAATCTAGAACAAACATTTACATTTACACATTCAAAATTGCATTTACTCATTCGAAATTTCATTTAGTCATTCAAAATTACATTTAGTCATTCGAAATTTTAGTTACTCGAAATATTAGTCTTGGATATTGTCGTGCCTCACCCGGAAACATCTCACCCTACAAATACTTTTTTTTTTGGTCTTGTAGCGTAAATTACTTTAAAATGTCAAAAAATAATAAATGTTGCAAAATCTTCTGGCACACATTCAACTGTGTACGTTTTGTAGTCCGAATTCGGTTACTCACAGTTCAGAGATTGATCGTTCAAAATTAGGATCCAGTTATTTTCACTTTTGAAACAATAATTTACTACGTGCCGAATAATCGTTAATGTAAGATAATGTTGGGTAGTTTTAAAAGGAAAAGTAGAAGTTTGCTAATTATGATATTTTATTATAAATTATTTTAAAACACATAAGTGCAACATCGTACTCATTAGCGCATCCCACGGAAACAAAACACAGCACAGATGGACAGGTGCGAACAGTAACCCAAAATATGAAAAATGAATGAGGAAGAGTAGAGAGAATTAATTTACCATTATCACATTAACATTACTTTTAGATTTTGTGTGAAATTTAAATACTACTCTTAGCAATACTAGAAAGATAACTCACACATAATACCGGACGTAACGGAGTGGTAACAAGTTCAGGAATTAGCCGTTCGAAGAAAGCCGAATCCGATATGAAATTATTTTCACTTTCAAAACAATGATTTACGAAGTGCAAAATGTTGGTACTGGCCCAGCTAGTGTATAATATTTTATATAAAATATAAATAATATTTTATTAAGTTAATTATATTTCATTTAATATACATTTATTATTATTTTCGTCTTCACCTACAACTGAGACAATTTGGAAATAAACAGATCACTTTAAATCTAATGTACAGAGAAAGTGATGCAACTCCTATCCGCAACTGAGATAAATATGTTTTAAAATATCTTTATCAAATCAACACTTTTCTTTTGGACTCCGAAGTTCCGTGTTCCCTTGAATTACTAACTCCACCGGAGAGCGAGACTTATGGGATCATTAACTAACCCCATGTATCAGTGTAGTGGGAGAAATGTATTCTAAATAAGTTCATATCTCTGAAAATGAGAGCTATGTTTCTGGGCCTTACCTCGCCTTCCACTGTGCTATTCCTTGTGACGACCACACAACATCACATTCGTCAAACAGATTTGACTCAGACATCCTGAATGTGCAGAAACCGAGAAGGTGGCACTACTATTAATGTCATTCAAGGGAATGGGATCGATGAATCGTTCAAACCAAAAAAATCTCTTTATTTGAAATTGAGTCAGAAATTACCGTGACATTTTATTTTCATCATCACTTACATTTCACAGAAACCTTATGCTCCCACTTCCGATTATAACTATACTTACTATATCTTGGAAATACAGGACAACGTGAATCTCCATTAACACGGCGAGAAAATTCGTGAACTCTATGATGATTGACTCCGAACGGATTTCTATGATTACGCATATTTTACTCCTTTGCTTCAGTGCATAGCTAAGTGAAATTTCTTGACATTTGGTTAGAAAATGATGCTCTGTATATTAATATGTTAGTGCATATTTGGCCGAGTTTTCCTGTTCGAGCATATTCGTGTAATTGTATACGCATATTTGGCATATTTTGTTAAAACAGAGAATTATCTACAAAATGTTTCATCTTTTCTTAGAATTCATTTATTTGTGATCGTTCATTGATTTGAAAGAGCTTGTAAGTGTTTGCGTTTTTCTTCTCTATAGATGATAAACTACTCGTGCAAATGTAGGGCATTTCTTGATAATATATGTGTTAAACCAGTCAGAAGAACTATAACGAGACATTCAATGTTCACTAAGGTGAATATTTACTTCCATTATTTCTCTCGCAAAGTAAGATAAATTATAGTATGTTTGCACAATAATGTTTTTTTTTTTATTTCAAGTATGCGTCTTCTGAATTTTATCAAGAAAAGTTTATAGAGGAAATGAAATGTTGCATATTAAAGAGCATATTTTAGAATTTTTAGGTCACACATGCATATTTTTAAAGCATATTTCAAGCTTTTTAAGGACATAAACATTCGCTCCTTAATGATGAGTTTGCTATGAAAAAACTTGAGAAAAGAAAGAAGGGAAAAAAGAAGAGCGCTGCAGTTACTAAGGAAATACGTTGGTCAAACATTAGGTCATAATTATTGGTGGGGATAAAATATAAAAAAAATCGTGAAAGGCAACGGAAGATACCGAAAAAAAGAAAGACACATGATTGACATAAACAGACTTCGAGGAAACGGTGGTAATTGACTGGGAACAGGGAAGAATGGTCGCGGCGAGGAGGCGTAACCTGCAGAGCAAGATGTCGCCGCCGCGCTCGATAAAAACGCCACTCGCAGTGTGAGTCCGCGTTTGGGTCGAAGCCCTTGGGGCACCCCCACTGTGGCGGCGGGCCCCAGGCAGCGGCCGGGCAGGGCAGGGCGACGCGAAACGGTGGGCGGGCGGGTGGTTGAGAACGGCGGGGCGCCCTTGTTCCCACCCCGCTGCGCTCCGCTCCGCTCACCAGCAGCCTCCGGCCGACGGAGAGAGATACCTGCGGAAGGGGGTGGCCCGCGGACCGGCCGCACGCACCACCCTTCCGCGGCGGCGGCGAAGCCGGTGGCGGCGGTGGTGCCGGGGGAGGGGACCGTGGCGATGCGAATAGAGGCGGGCGTGGCGGCGGCGGCGGCGGTAATGGAAGAAATTATGGTCACGATGATGGTGATGGTGGGGTTGATGACGGCGGCGGTGATGATTGATTGATGTTTCTGGGCACGCCAACTGCTATGGTCATTAGTGTGCTAATTTGTTTCGCGGGTGTGTAGTGACGTACCTCCTCGCCGCTGGAAAGTGAGATCTAGTGCCGACCTAGACGTCTGTTCGCTGAGCTTTCCCTCTCCAGGTACCTCCCCCAGCGGAACAAGTTCCACGTCCACGTTTCTTTCTAAGCCCATTATCTCCAGAGATGAGAGTAGTGCATGTGCTGTAATGGCTGTCTGTGCGTGTAAGAGGAGAAAGGACAAGGAAGGCGAAAAAAAGATAGCGCGCGGACGTCTTGCGATTTTTAGGGTACTGCTTCGGCATTCGCCTGGTGTTGATCGGAGAGACCACGGCAAATTAAACCGCTCAGGGATAGCACTCTCGTCCAGGCGGCGGCGGCGGCGGCGGCGGTGGCAGCGGCAGGGGGGGGGCGGCGGTGGTCGCGGGGCGCGGGTCCACGCCGCGGGGCAGGGCAGCGCCGAGGGTTGTGCAGGCGCGAAACGAGGGTGAGGACGAGGGGTGAAAGGAGTCGCGGTCATCGAACCGTTATTTGTTCCGGTGGGGCTTGCACAGCCACTCGCTACTGATTTCGGATCTCCATTGTGGTGGTTGTTCCGGTAAGGAGTTGGATTTGAACTCCCGCTAGGTTGTCTGCAGCCTGTTTATGAACGTGTCTAATATCAATACATTTATTATAAAGAGTATGAATCTTAATTACCGTCAAAGTCATGGGTCAACGAAGCACTCGTAGGTTTCGTCTGCTGCTCATTCGCTCTCTCTTAGAAATATTACTAATAATCCTTCACTAATTATATTTTCGTAGTGAATTCGATATGCATTACTTCCTCTTTTGTAAAAATATTTCATTTATTACCTACTTTTTATCCATTACCTTTAACTTGCAAAACTCTGCTTTCTTCTTAGATCTGATGCATTACTTCGCTTGTACTCCAACCAGATGTAGAGTATTTGTTTATTAGGTAAAGTGTTAGTTGGTATATACACCTGAATATTGCCTTGTCGCTAAATAATGTTATAAATATTGCAAAGGACCTTATTCAGAGGTTCTAATACACAGAAAACGATATTTTTTAGAATGATCTGTTGCGTGTGTTTAAGGATAAGTAGGCCTTTTATAAAATATTTATTTCAACGATTACATTCGTAGCATTAATTAAATAATCATGATTATTTATGAGAGAGTTTATTATAACGATTGCATCATAAATTCTTAAAATTTACTTAAACATAATGGTTACACCTAATAATAAAAACAGGTAACTGTTACTTTCCGATATAAACACTTTCGACACAAGAGACAATTTTTGGGTCTGATGCCTTTTAAAAGTGTGAAAAAAGCTCTTTACTCTTCGAAAAGTTAACTTTTCATCCACGCTTAATATGCCCATATCAATAATAATAATAATAATAATAATAATAATAATAATAAACAACTGTACAATAATTATTATAATAAACATTTATTATCAAAAGAATTCCATTCACTTTCATACTTCTAGATATTTTTTGGCTGTTATACAAAAGTGGATCTGTTTACAACTGCATGTGTCACAAAAAATTAGTTCTTCCAGGTCAATGTGTCGCACGTCAGTTTGATGTTAGAAGATTAAAAGATATATTCAATTAAAATTGTGTGTACAACATTGTCTCCTTAAAATTCTCACCATATCACGTCACACACAGTTTTTAACTGTTTTTGAAGTAAAAATAAATAAATAAATATGTGAAGAAAGTGCAGTTATTGGCGTTAGTGTGACAAAAAAAATTATTCAAATCTCGGGCAACAGCACATATGACAGGTATCTAACAGATGTCATAAATAAATGTCGTTTTTAAGCAGGTATATAATATTTACATTCTTTAAAATTATACACGTGAAAAGAAGCGGAACTAGATATTAAGTACGTATACACACAGACAGAAAATGGATATATAGTATAATCCGATAAATGAATTAACATTGAAATATCGCCAGAAGCAATTTATAGAAGACCGTGAAAAAAAAGCAGTAGGTGCTTTTCTAAGAAAAGACATTCCCCGAAATAAAACAAACACTTCGTACGAAAGCTGCTTTCGTTGTTTTCTAAGGAATCGCGTTCATGGAACGGCTTCCGAGGTGTAGACAGGATACATACCGAGTATATAACAGGCTAGAGGCAGGAGACCTTCGGAAAGTCATTTCGTGTGTTTTCAAAAGTAATAACCTCGGGTGTTTCGTCCCATTTCATTATTGTCCGAATTTCCATTAACTATTCACCAATCAAATAGCTTAATACACATTTGTTTTTCGGCTCTGTGTGACTCACATATGCTAGTTTCAAGAATCAAATAGTATGAGTATTAAAAAATTCGTTCAATTTGATAATACTACTCGAACGAGGAAACCACCGATATTTTGGTAACAACTACGTTCACGATGATGCGCGAGGCGACTGTATTTCTACTAAGCAAATGACGTCACAGTTCCCGAAATTGAGTCAGATGTTGCTACATGTTTCGCTTCCTTCTTATATATCATTGGCGTTAAATACGAGCACATAGAATTCTGAGAAGTGATCATAGACATATTTCAGATACACACAGGATATTTCAATCGAATGTCGGGCTAATACTATCATCATACACACACGAGTACACAATTTTGGATCTCATACATAGTGAATGCTTAGAACAAACAATCTAAGGTGTTTTACTCTAAATTAGTAATTTAAAACAATGTAATTCTGCAAAATTAACCTATCTACACAGCCACCTTTGGGGCAGCCCTACGTCCCTTATTTTGTTACGCATCTTAACTCAACTGGAAGCTGTTTACATGATATAGGGACGTAAAAACAAGCTGGGTATAAACAAAAAAGATGCACAAAGTCTGTCGTAATTTAATTTTTAGGCACCGAATAAGCTCTGTGATTATGGTTAAAAGCGCATTCCTTTTCATTATAACCTCATAAAGGTCACAATTAACGCTTTCATTTACCAAATGTTTTAGGATCACTGTTTTGGTTAAAAAAATGAACAGTATACTCAGTACACGATTTCATAATTTAATGAAATTATAAGGCAGTAAAAGATAGACACTACATGAGGTTTTCCTAAATAATTTTTCTTTTATAAAACGAGACACATTAATAATATATTTGAATTTTTGATGATTTGAGGTAGTATTTTGGGGGACAGTATGAATACAATCATTCGGAATACAGAATATTGCATCCTAGACTAGTTTTCATTTTTGCTATATCCTTGTAGTTAACAAATATTAACATAATAAAGTATTTTAAGCTCATAGAAATCTCTAGAAATTTTAAAATTAGTCACTCTAATATTATTATCTAGAGGGATAATTTGAAGACACTACAGCTCATTAAGTATAGTAATAACCCTTCGAATAACATATTGGATAACACAATCCGCCAGTGAATTCAAACGTAGCTTCATACATTTACCTTGTTTAAGTTGTGTACCTTGTTTAAGTTGTAAGACCTTTCTGGTAATTGAAGCTCTGCAGTCACCCCTCCACTGCAACAAGATCAAAATACGTCTTCTGAAAAAAATGGCAAGTATCTTATATCCTTCCCTGGAAGAAGCACTTTGGCGTCCGGCTACTTACATTTCCCCACCTCCAGTAGAAATACCTCGCATCAGGCGGAAACTAGGCCACTCCATTGATCTCGTGGAACAAAACAAATGACGTCATCCGTCCGTCATCGGAGCGCCGTCGCGGCTGATTCTTGCAGCTACCTGCGGGTGGCTTTCGACCGGTGGCGGCCGGCCGGCGCCCACGGGGCTGCTAAGTGAAAAGCGAGCGCCACCTGTCGGGTACTTTCCTGCAGAAGGTGTTTCTCCTTTTGGCGGAGAAGCCCCATTGACGAGGGTGGGCGGTCGGAAAAAGAGCGCCGCTTGTTGACGCCGCGTTCCGTGAACCTTTGACGCGTCAGGCGAAACGCGCCTTCGCGGAAGGCCTGCCCGCCCCCGCCCCGTGCGGAGCGAAGAGCCTTCCGGGAACGTGACGACGCCCGCACCCCCCCCCCCTGTTGGGCGCCCACTCCCGCTGGCCGCGAGCAGGGCGGGCAGTCGACGGCGCGAAATCTTGGTCGTGCGCTCCTTCCGGCCACGTGCAGCTTCGGCCCCGTGCTGACCGGCTGAGTTGGCTCAGGGCAACAGCGGTTCCCTCTGTCACCGACTTCTAGGGCTCGAGTTCCGGAGGCACCAGGATATTTGACACAAGCTACACACATAGCTAGGATACGTTCAGACGCTGTTGGAGATCTGAAGCGGCCGGCTGTTTGATTTTAGGTAGTTTTCCGTGGTTTCTCCGATCAGTACCAGGCGAATGCCAGAGCGATACCCTAACAAACGGCCACGGACCGCGCGCGATATTTCCTTCCTCGTCATTGTTCTATCATCCCTTATTTACACACACTTACATTTAACATGCACTACACTACCACGTATGCCGATAGGCCGGTCGGGAGGTTAGTGCTTGGACGGGCTGGAGCGGTGCTCCGCTAGTGGGAGATAGAACCCCACCGACGAGCAGGACGGCGCTGGATAATGTCATCCAGCGGGGGAGATCACTGCCACCTTCCGAGGAGGAAAACATGCACTACGCTTACGAGTATTATGACAGCAGTTGACGCCCGGAAGCAAGCAAATTCAGGCGCTGTCTGGTGGAGAATTCTAGAGACAACTGCTCTAATCCGTACTTTTCTTCGCTGTTTCAGGCAATTGGGCAGCAGTACCTTAAAACTCAGCGCACGATCTTTCCCACCTTATCTTATTTCAACCTTCATATCATAATGAAACTTGCCGGCGAGTGATTTTGTTTTTTATATCCGTATCTTTTAAACCGGAAGCTAATTCGAGGAGTGCAGATTTTGCGAGAGTTCTGTTCGGAACATGAAATTATTACGGTACACAAAATATGCCTAATAAATCGAATTAATCAACCCTTAAAAAACAGTTTCAAAGCATCATCGATTAAATATCGGGTACGAACATTAATCTTTTACGCACAGGTGCTTTTAGACTGTTTTGTATTATTTCATACGTTTTTCAGCTGAATTTTCTTGATTGTCACTAGCAAGAATGGGTCCCCATATGATATTCTTATATAAAAATACTGCGTGATGAATCATATCACTGTCAACCAAACTACTTAGCTTCATCTTACAGTCAACTCACTTGAATTTGGCGGATATGAAGGGGATTTCATTCACCCACGTCCCCAAGAGAACTCGATGTCCCTCGATCTTTCGGCTGCCTCTCGGATGCCCCCCCCCCCCCCCCCAAAAAAAAAGTTTTTTAATGAGCAGAATACATCAGATATATCAGAGGTCACACAATTTTTCGGTGAAAGTTTTAATAGATTCTTTTAAATTTTACCCCCGCCCACAAGCTTTCTCGGCAATTCATAAGTGACAAAAATAATATTAATGGGTGTATTTTAATGTCTTAGATATGGAAAATTAACAGAGACAAAAATCATCATATAAATATTCGAAGAAAGTCTAGAGACGATAATTATAAAATCACTTCAATTAATTTGCATGTTTTAGGAAGCAAGTGCAGAAGAAAGATAATGTATTATTTGTGAATAAAGAAGTTATTACGGGATTCCAGCGTATTGAAGGAACATTACTCTTTAAGTTATCTTCAGTATAATATATTGAAACTTAAATAAGAAAATTAAAATTATTTGTATTAGGATTGTAAAAATTAATTTTCGAAAAAAAAAATAAATAAATAAAAAAATAAAAACAAGGGTGAAATGAAGGCGTTTAGGGAATGGGAGAAGTGTGTCAGAATCGCGCGGCAAAGAGCCTAGGTCCCTCCAGTTCCGGCAGCGTGATTCTGACAGTTCCCTCGCCACGTGCTGTGGTACGCCATGTGACCTGCTCTGAAGCAATCAGCCCGCGAGAATTTGTTTACTTTCTTACAACCACGTTTCCGCGTTACCGCTCATCTGAGCCATACGCAGTCGCGGAGACGACAAAGTTCGCCATGGAAAACAAGGTATGAAGACAAGGTATCATAGCCTGTCAGTAAGTGTTAATGTTTTGAGATTTAATTTATCTGTGATGTGGGAGGTGCCAAATACATTGCAATGCATGGCAAACGGCGCACTGAACTGTCAGAGTCGCGTATAAGCTGCCGGTAATGTAGGCGGCTCCAAACATTCGGTATTTGGCGAGTAGAGACCGACTACTCGCTGAATCTCTAGAAGTGTGGATCGCTTGCTTGCCATTTGCCGAGCGACGAACATTCGTTACTCGCCCTACCTTGTGCGTGGGTCTCCTCGTCACATCGAAGGGAGCGAACGTTCGCCTATGGCACATCAGCTGCTCGCTACTTGAAGAATGTCGAATGTGTGGGCCGCTTTGTGAGGAAGTAATAAAGCTTGTAAGCCTGCGTAATAAGAGAAAAAATGAAGGAAATCCAGTCAATATTCACAATCCTTTTATCAACATGTCTGAGATTCATTACAACGCGTGAAAGCTGTTTGGTACCAAGCGCATGTGGAATTTCGCACCTCTGGGGAAGTCTTCATTCAATAAAATATACACCTACAGATGTTAAGAGGAAGGCCTCTTGATTAGCAACTGCAGTTTGTTTTCTGAGAACGTAATATTCGAGAAGATACATTTTCCAAAACACATGCTCTTACTTGGAACGTTTTCCCGGAAACACGAAAGAAGTTGATGCTGAATAATAAATTGGCCGGGAAAGAACTGACACGTGCACTTACTACATTTTCATAAAATCCTTGGGTCTTTCATTTATTTATTTAACGAGAAAAACTATGTACAAATTGTGTGACATATGAGGGAGAAGTGCAATCCCCTCGAATTCACTCGATTTACACTCGATTACACTCGAATTACCTCGATTACACTCGAACTCAATAATTTTGTTTTAAAATATTATTGAGGTCAAAAAGGATTTATAGAGATTTTAGAATTAGAAGGTTTGAGAAAAAGTAAATGAAATCTCACAAATGAAAACAATGGAGAATGAAGGAGCCTTTGAAAACCTAATCTTCAACAACTCTTTCTGGAGAAAACATTTCACGAAAGCGAATGCGACTATCTGAAATTACGTGAGTTGGTATTTAAAAGTACATTTTCATGAAGTACTATCTACTACAGTACGTTTAAAAGTAGCAGATTTCACCACCGAAATGAATTGTGGTGCAATAACTAGTAAAATTGCATTGTAGTCCATGGTGCACAATTTACTTAAAAATTTGCAGAAAACAGTTTAATATGAACCATTTTATTATTGAAGTTGTTCTGCCCCTCATGTTTTTTATTATTGACACTTTTATCACAATTTCTGACCACGTGCTCATTTAATGGCGTGCAAATCGCACTGAAGCGACAACTAACAAGTCTGTTGTAAGTGCTTACTCAGATAATTTCCTATATAATGTTATTTAGTTTAAATACACAAAGCGGATTTTGCATGTCACAAATAATATTCGGTCTCCTTTTCAGCAGAAATATCGAGAATGTACTTCCAATCGCGATCGATACTTAGCTGTTTCCGCTGCCGCTAGATAGCAGCTCTGACGGGCTTTCGACGCGAGCCGGAATTCCATGTTGCTTTGAATGTGTCCAAGCATTGCACATGCACTGCAATAGCCAAGACGTTTTGTAGTTCACACAATATTCGGAGTACAACATGTCAATTTCTCTAAAAGCCTTCGTCAGTCGTATAATATTTTTAGACCACAATATTTTAGTTCTCATACTGCCAAACACGTAGAATTTTCGTAGATCCAATTTGTGTCTCGGAATTTCATGTTTGTAAGATGCACTTGGTCATAGTGATGCACTAAAAAAGAAAAAGTCATCTTTTTAATAATTTCAAGATTCTGTTCTTTTAGTGTTCGTATCCATCAATACGTTCATTTATGCGCCTTGTTCTGACTGAACTTCATAATATTTCTAATTACTTTTTAATATATTACCTAATTTTCATTTTTATGCATTATACTATGAAAACTAATAACTAAAAATTGTGTTCGAAATGCAAGTGTAAAGCCTGAATCGGTCGGTAGGCGTTGTACAGAAATAGCGTTGAAATATTGTGTAACCAATTAAAGAGATGTCAGTAACACTGGTCATGATCAACTGGTTGTATAATTTGTTATCAATCACCAATAATGTATCTGTTTAATCAAAGTTATGATGGAATTAGGTATTAAAGTGACAACAATTTACGTACCAAAAAAAAAATGAAGAATTAGAGAATGATCATCTATTACCTCAGATGACAAATTGTACTATTCATATTTTTACGAAAAAAAAGTTTCAAGCTGTTTCTAAAACGTAGAAAACTTATTTTATTGATCAAGTGGAATTTACTCGAACGTTAGATAACCCTCTCAGACTAAATATACCATGTGCTCTCAATGTCTAATAATCAGTTTCACCCTAACAATCTAATGAGAAGAATCTAATTCATGTAGCGATTTAGAATAAAATTAACAATATATTATTAATTATAATTTCATTTATATAACGTTTGGGTTCAATTTTTTTAATACGTAGTTCTTCAAAACATCGCACGGATTAAAATTATAAATGTTCCATTGTTTTCTGGGCATTTGATTTGATTTCTTTTTTTAAAGAAATTTTCATCTTCTGAATTTCAAATTGTAATCATTTCACGAAAGAAACTTCAGCTGAATATAAAGTATGTTATTATTGCTTAATATAAACACCATTTACTTAGCCCTATCCACCTAATTGAAAAATACATTGAAATAAATATCTGACTTCGTTCATTCGGTACAAAAATTGCCAACGAAATCTATAATACGAAACATTCACATTCATCAAGGGGAAAACATTTAAACCTGCGTAGTTTAAAATTTATAAATTAGTAAGGTGAAAATAAATGCAAGTGACAATGACTGTCTGTAGAGAATTTCCAAATTCTCTGTAGGCAAGTAAGATATATTGTGTCAGTTCTGCCTAGTTGTATTTGTTTCCTTAGAGTTTTGCATCCTGTAACTGCTTTGCGCGCGAAATTTAAAGGCGAAATAAGCGTGCAATTATGAGAAGGCAACGATGAAAAATTCGGGGTTAAAGTTTCTGCAACTGATGAAATTTGTAAGAAACATCACAGAGAAAATTAAGAGAATGAAATGAAATTTTCTGTAGAATGCTCCTAAAATCATTTTGTGTGTAGTTGATAAGCTCTTTAGAATGTAATGATATTATAGAAAATTATATAAAGACTACTTTTATTTTGCATTTCTTTTTTCCAAATTTGGATAGCCAGGAATATGAAATTATTAAATGTAATTGTTAAAAGAAGTGAATAGTGAATATGTTATAGTTACAAATTGAAA